GCACGGCTGTTCCATCGGCACCTCTGAGCTGGGCTCGGACTTCTCCACTCAGCCAGGGCTGCTGCTAAAGGATCGAGAGCAGCCTGGCAAGCTCTTTCTCCATCTGCCTCTTTCCTCTTGGGGGAGGTAGAACATTCCACAGGAAAGTAGCTCGTGCCTCCACAGACCCTGGATCCATGCTGGGACAGACAAGGACGTGAAGTATGTCATATGGAAAAACTCTTTATCACAAACCGTTGGCATTTGTTCTGTCTGTTCCTTTGTTACCCATGGTATAAAGCAATACTCACTCGTTTGTCACACGCAGAGGCCCCCGCCTACACAGCTCATTCACACCATGTGGGTTCAAGTCTCATGGGTGCCTCGCACAGGTGGCACAGGGAGTCCCACCTACACGGTCCCGGGTCAGGGGCTAGCGTCCCCTTGGTGGGTTAGAGTCCCAGAGTTCGGGAGTGGTATGCTAACTGGCATTGATTAAATGTGGCTGGAATTTGCATTGGGAGCTGGTTTAGAGATTTTATTAAGTCTGGTAATATATTGTGTGTTGTGCATGGGCTAAGTCTGTCACTGCAACATCGTTTATTCCTTAGTGATGTTCAGGTGAGGAAGGGAATGTGCTCAACACTTTTACCTTTTCCTTTGGGTATGGAATGCTATTAATTGGAGTAGAAGTAGTCAGAAAACTGAGTGTGTGTTCCAAGGTTCATCTCTAGGAACGCAAGAAGTAGAAACACAGTCTCAGAGAAACAGCATTGTATGATCTTGCCAATTAGAAACTGAAAATAAGTGTCTAGAGAATTTAAAACGTTGTGAGGAAGTTCTGGAGGACATAGGTCACTGGCAGCCTAGCTGGGATTTTTTCCAGCAATAGGATGATATCTTTTGGATGCTTGGACGACATTAAGCATTAAGACAATTTTCTAGTTTCTGTACAAGTTGGGGAGGGGTATCTGCAGAACCATGTTGTGCAACTGACACGACAGCTGCAGAAAATAAATCAACACGTTTTGAGCACATGAGCAAGGGGATGCTCCTCTCACCACAAATCCAGCGTGGGGACCATGTATACGTAAAATCCCCTGAGGGGATGCCTCTTATCCCAAAATGGAAAGGACCCTATTTAGTACTTTTAATCACTTATACAGCCTTTAAAGCTTAAAGCGTTAACCTCTTGGATACATTATTCCAGAATTAAAAGACTTGTGCAAAAGGAAAGTGGAGTCCAAAACTGGACCTCAGAAAGAACAGGAGAAAACAAGATGTGTTTCACACCATCATTATCTTCGCGACACTTCTAATTGGAATCCAAGCCTCAGTAGATGACTGTCACTACCATCATGATCTCCTTGGCCTGCAAGATCCTGGTAGATGGAGCACTCAAAAATATCCAGGGTCTAATTGGCTAAAAGGGATCAAAAAAGTAAAAACACTTTTTGTTTTAAGGGTTATGACCGTTTTAAGGGTTAATGACTAAGCAGTTGAAGATTGAGGAAAACCTGACTCCATGCCTTTCTTTATTGTCCCACCTAAAAGCAGGATTCTTATGGCTTGTAAATTTGAAACTCACAAACCGCTTTTAGATGAGATTACTACAGTGACCACGCACATCCGAGACCTTTCTAACAAGCAGCATGTGAATCCATTTTCATGTGATTCCTATCAGGATTTTTGTGTTATGCAAATTAAAAGGGGAGACTATAACCTAGCACAAGATAGTTCCCTTCTTTTGCGGCACACAGGTGGAGTGGGAGGACCATCATCCCACAGAGATACAGGAATTGAGCCCGCCAGGAATGCGACCCAACAAATATTGTTTCCAGCAGGCAGCTCTTGTGCCACTAGAATAATAAATCGGCCTGCTCGTACGCTTAGTAGATGGAACAGGTCTCATAGAGGATCTGCTTTTGAGAACTGAATTTCATTCTTGGGATATTCCAAGCCATCAGAAATAGTGAGCAATCAAGTTGGAGGGGAAGCTGGGAGCACAATCATTCTATTAGGGTATATCATGCCCAGTGTCATGACTGTGTGATGGCAGCCCAGATAGGCACGGAATCGTGATAGCAGAACTACATCCTCTTATGGCCTGAGGTACTCAGAATACTCAACCATTTGTACTGGAAACTTTACTAAAGTAAGTATCCTTTGTAATACTACCAGGGGCCAATGTAAGGTTTCTGAAGGTTTCTGAAATACTTGCCTGAAGGCAGGCAATGTATCTGAAGAAACCAGATACCATGCCTTGGGTACTCGACAAGGAGTGAAACAGAGCGGGTCACACAACAGGCATTTAAAATTAAAATCAAAACAAACAACTTTACATTAGCAAGCAACTGCATAGCACAGGACCCATATGTGAAATAATATAGTCTTTCCCTCTGTGGTAAGACAAACAAATGAACAATTCTTGCTTCTAAATCCACAGTATTCTCTGAAAAAGCTGGAGTAAAGATACAGGCTAATATTTCCAAAGTTAAACAGCAATACTACCCATTCATACAGCAAAGCCTAAATGGCTGGGAGTCGTGGATACATTCCCAGACACCAAATCATAGGTATAAAAAAGACTTAAGGGGATGGTTTGGGTCTGAACTGGGAATATGAAATTCTATTGATCAAGAAGTCTTAGTCAATAAATGAAGCACTGTGAGTTCTTATATTGGAGAGACGCAAACTCCTCTCAGATCAGCCCTGCTAACACTTGCCCAAACCCAAAGCCTGGCAGCTAACCCATTAACCACCCTGGCCAACAACAGACAGCAGGATTGTTTCCAGCAGTTGTTGGCTTTGTGGGAAAACTACAGGGTAACATTTCTTTAGCATTTCAATGTATACAAGCTCAGCTATGGCTACGGTCTGTAATCTCAGGAAAACTGAGAAAAGCTTAGTGAAATTGCCATGAGAATTAAACTAAACCATGGCTAAAAATGAAACTGCAAAGCAATTTGAAAAAGACTTCCACAGATTGGCTTTCACCCTCCAGATTCCTTAAACCTCAGGCAATTGTGGTGGAACAACATGGTATTTCAAAACTGATCTCTTCTCTGGTTAATCCATCAGCATTCCTGGCCACTCACCAGACAGACAAGGAACCTTTGTCGCATGACTGTATCAAAACCATGAAGTCCATTTTATTCCAGCTGCCCAGATCCTAAAGAAACCCCAATTCCAGGAGCAGAATCTCAGTACACAGATGGGAGTGGCTTTGTAACAGCAGATCAGTGAAAATCAGGATATACAATTAGCACAGAGCAATAGGGGTAGAAGCACTAGACAAGTCAGCTCAGAAGACAGAGATAATCACTTGAACCTGTACCTTCTGACCAGCCTGAGGAAAAAGGATCAATATATGAACAGATTCCAAGTATGCCTTCAGAGCAATACGTGCCATGAAGCAGTTTGGAAAGAAAAAGGACTATTGACAGCTAAAGAAAAGCAGATTAAGCATCCAGAAGAAATCTTAAAATTGCTGCAGGCGGTACTATTACCTCAAGAGGTTGCAGTTATGCACTGCAAAGGACATCAGAAAGGAGAAACAGACCCCAAAGGGTAACAGGTTGCAAAAACAGCAGCAGAACAAAGCCATGCTGAGGTTCAGGCACTAATTCCC